GATTGCTGTTAGATGAGGAACAGCTGATCTTCCTAAAACAAGGAACTCTAGATAGGCTGACTAGATTCAGCAGATGGACAAGCACTGGGGAACGGCTGGGGCACTGACAACACAGTGGACAGTAACAGGGGTGACAGAGTATATGGGCTCCAGTTGTGGGTGGGGTATGGGAGGGTGCCATTTGGGATGTGGGTATATAGACAAATAAGATTGTTTGGGATGTTCTGTATGAAATACACACACAAAAAAATCAACAAATAAAAAATGAGTTATATTTGAGGAAGGAGCATACAAATTTGCTTCATGTTAATTAGTAGAAGTGAAGAACATTACCACTGAAATCTACCTGATGACTTTATACGCATGCTTAGGTGCCAAGGATCTCAGAAAGTAACTGACTGTGACTAGTAATAATCATATATATATATGAGATGCATTTGCAAACATCTAAGTATTAGTAGCATTAAAAAATGAGTTTTTCTGGGGCTGGAGAGATGGCTCAGTGGTTAAGAGCACTGACTGCTTTTGCAGAGGACCCGGGTCCAAGTCCCAGCACCCACATGGTGGCTATGAACCGTCCTTAACTCCAGTTTCAGGGGAATCCGATGCCCTCTTCTGACCTCCACAGCATTGCATGACACAGGTGTGCTTACATACATGCAGGCAATACACTCATACACATAAAACAAAAAATAAAATAAAATAGAAAAAAATGAGTTTTTCTGTATGAAACAGTACATTTTAAAATGAAATGGAGATCTTTTTTAAAGGTGAAAACCTCATTCAATTTTATGTCCTATATATGTCTTATAAGGTTTATACCGAGTACAATAATGTATAACTGTATTAGTTCAAATGTGAACCTAAAAATTTAGAGCCAATATTGAAAGAGAAGCGTCTTTGCATTGTTATTGAATATGTTAATGCTGTAATGAAATGCTTCTAATCATGTGGTTATTAAATAAATAATTTTTACAAAAGGACACTGGGATCTTGGCAGAGATCATATTGAATCTGTAGGTAGTTCCTGGTAGTGTGAATATTTAAACGCTAGTGATTCTTCTCATCAATGAATGTGGACTTTCTGTTATTTGTGGCTCAACTTTTTTAGCAGTGTTTTGTGCATCTCCGTTTCCAGGCCTTTCTCAGTTACATTTACTCAAATTACCTTCACGCCATCATAACTGGACCAGTTGACTTTCCTTCTTAGATTGTTTGTCATTAGTCTTCAATAACAGTGGACTCTGGTGTGTTTTTCTGTACTCTGCATGCAACTTTTGAAATCTCAGTTTATTTACGGGTTCCTACTCAGAATCATGTCATCCATGTGCAGAGAAAGTTTTACTTCTCCCTTTGTGTGTCTTTCACAATGTTTCCTGCCCCAACTGCTTTGATGAGGACTTTCAAGTCCTGTGCTGAATCAAGCGGTGTCCTTGCCTTCTCCTGATTCTGGGTAGAATGCTTTCAGGTTTTCACTGTTGAGAGCGATGTTAGCTCTGGACTTTGCTATGCAGCTGTCACTATGTGGTGGTGTCTTCTTGTTCCTCTCTTATTTCGTGTCACAAATGCTTTTTCTGCATCAACTGAGGAGTACATTGTCCTTTTCTCTGTTCATGTGTGTCATACTGATGAATCCTCATGTACTGAGCCATTCTTGCATTGTTGAAACCAGTCCCGTATGGTCCTGGCCCAGGGCATAGCATCTTTTCAATGTGCAGTTGTGAAATTGGTTTGTTGCTGTTTGGGGAGGATTTCCTATTCACATGTAGTAAGGACGCTGGTCCATAGTCTCCTTGCAGGTCTGTGTTGTTCTGGGGTCACAATAACTCTGCCACATAAACAAGTCTGGACTGACTTCCCCTCTACAGTTATGTGGACACCTGCGTGAGAGGGATTGCTGCTTGCTCCTCTGTGTGTGGTGGGCAGCAACTACAGTGGCATCATCTTGTCCGGGGCCTGTCTCTGCTGGGAGAGCTGGATGCTGATTCAGTCTTGTAACTACTTACAGCTCTGTCTAGATGCTTTATTTCTACCATAAGTCCTTGGCAGCTTGTTCAAAATGAGTTTTATAAAGAGAACCCACAAAACTGACTGATTAGAATGAAGGAAGGGGAACAGCAGGAAGTGATCCTTTCCTGTCTTAAGCCACTTGTTCTATGATGGTACAGAAACTAGGATAAAGCCTGGTATGGATAGGGATACTACACAGGTTCAGAACTCCACAGTTGAGGACTAGGGACCCTGGAAGGCACCCTGCTGTGGAACTCTGTCCTCTGGGCACAATGTGACCATGACCTTGTTGAAATCAAGAGTTGTGACTACCTGCAGGAAACTCTCAGAGGATAGACTCCCTCTTAGGAAAGGGGGGGGCCCTCAGATCCTCACCTGAGATTCCAGCCAACACTCTTGGCTACCCCCAGATGGACACACTCTGGACTGTGGTCTAGATTTGAAACTGAAATTGATAGGCCCAAGGAAGCTTTGCTTCTTGAGAGAACTTCCATGAACTCAGCTCAAGAGGGCTGGCCAGCCAGAATGCCGCCACTATGCACAGCGCCTATGTGAGAGACAAATGATTGCCACAAAGGCTGACAAGCCCAGGGCCTAAGGGGTCTTCGAGGGCGGCTAAAGACCTTGTGCAAAGTGATGTCATGGTGGCTTCAGAAGTGAGTTTCTCATCAGGGGCCCCTGGGCTCCCAGCAGGCTGCTCACCCCATCCCCGCTTGCAGTCTCATGACACCTGTATTGTCACTTATATACACGCTATGATTTTAATCTCAACTTATCATTCTGTTGTTTACTGTCGTGCAGGTCAGTGAGCAGTCTGTCTCTTCTAGTCACCGCTCTCCCTGGTCTTTAGCACAGAGCACAGACTTGCATAGATCATGTGTTCTAGTTCCGGGGGGCAGAGGCAACAGCATGATGACCTCATGTCCACTGTCGGAACACCCACACCCAGACCCCAGTTCTTACAGCAAGGCCTTCTCATCCTTTGGATGTCAGAAGTGACACTGCCTGACCCACCCTGCTCACACTCTCTCTGGCCTTCCTCTGCTGGCCAGCCATTCTTTCTACCTCTCACTTCAAGCATGATATAGCATGGGTCATGAGCAGCCCAGCCACTCTGGGCTAAGTGCCTAGCTGTCTGGGGCACAGTTGCGTCTACTGCTGGTCTAACCCAGTTTCTGGGCATTTATAAATTTAATCTCAGAGAGCACTCACACATCCAAGTTTTTGAGGCTGATTACACTAGTAACCCCTGTAGGTTCCCCACAGCACTGCCCAGGGCCAGAGCCAGGGCCAGCCCAAGACACACAGCAGCCACAGGAGACATGAAGCAACAGTGTATGTCATGTGGTTAGTGCTTGTTCATACTTCATAGAAACAGAAGCTAGAAAATGACATTCTTACATGCTTTGGCTATTTTCTCAGAACATGATATTAATTTTGATAATAAGGAACAGAATAAGCATGGCCTGGAAGTCTGGGTGAGATCTAGACCACTTTGATCCCGGCTCTGACACCAGTACAGCTGTCCTATCCCATCAAGTCACTGGCTTTAGTTGAATACAGGAGTTGGACCAGATGCTCGCTCCAGCCTCTTTTGGTTTTGATATTGTGTTGTCCAAGGATTATTTTATTTCCAACTTTACTTCCCAACTGTATAAGCACCCCAGGACTTCTGTGGCTCCAGAGACGTTTACAGGGGACATAAGCAAAGGTTGTACCCAGGATCCCATGTTGAGTGCATGGAGGATTCTTTTCCACCCAGGCTTCTGGATGCTTGGTGCTGTGTAGTACAGTCCTTGGGGTATGGCACAGCTGTTACTGTCTTAATTAGAGAGCTGTGACCATCTAGGAGCCCTTCACAAAATCAGACCTGCTGATACTCTCTCATCGAAGGTGGGGTGTGCAGGGCCACTGAACCCTTTCCTGAGGTTCCAAACCCTCTCTCCTCCTGTCCCCTCAGCTGCATGTGTCTTGGGAGGTGCTAGTGATAGTAACCACACTGTCACCTACAGCCATGTTGGACACATTCATAGTTATCCCGGGATGCATATGGCCTATGGGGGATGCATGTGGCCTATGAGAGCCATAAGCAGGACTTGCCTATCTACAGTGTACAGGAGGAAGGTGAGCTAAAGGAGGTGACTCCATCTCTACTGCGTTGGGGAAGTTATCACCCATGCTGAGGTGGGAAACTGTGGTGATGTAACTGTTTGGGGGTAAGTCATGTTCCTGTAGGTGACCCCTCACCCATGTTCTGTAAGTGAGCCCAGTCAACTCTGTGGTTCACTAGCTGGACTTGGGTGGGATGGTTACTTTGATCTGTTGGTGATGCCCTATCTGGGATGAGTAGATGTTTATTCAGGGCTCCCTAAGAAGAGAAAAGCAACAATATGTAACTGTCACATCCTAGAAGACTGAGATGCTGCAAAACTGGTTATAACCATCTCTAGGTACTTTCTTTTTGAAGCAGGTATTTGGGGGAAACTATTCTCCATATGTAGGAGAATCCTGCATATTGTAGTACAATACTTCTGAAAGCTTCTCCTGTCACAGTATTTGCAGAAAGTAGCCGACATCTGGGAGGCTGATGTTGTCCACTCAGCCTCCAACATGTATATCTGCTCACAGATTCAGTCATTACAGTAACTGCTCTCAAGCATGCAGTCAACTATACAGCAAACTGACTGTCTTGTTTATAGCTTAAATTGGCGGGCAAGTTACACTTCCAGCACATTTAGTGCTGCTTTCGGCTTGGGGAGTACACATCTCTGAGTGGGTCCTTCCCAATTCAGGGTATTCTAGCAACAAAAGCAGAGACTGCCTTTCAAGGGACAGTTATGTATCTTACACATAACTGTCTGAGTGGTAATTGTGCAGAGACTAAGCACATGCGATTTCACAAGAATTATTCTACTAGCTTCCACCAAAACCAAAACAATGAAATCCATTCAGAATTGAACAAAAGTGAGCCAGGCATGTGTCCTTCATACCTGGAGTAGTAAGATTCCACCCCCAGGGCCTCTCGGACACTGGCTATGTACTGCTCCAGGGCTGAGCTGGTTGCTGTGGGAAGCGTTGCACTGCTGCCAGCCTGGAAGTCACTGGAACTTTCCACCAAGTTGTCGCCTAGGTAATGTTCGTGAAACTTCAGAATTCCTGAAATAAGGCAGCGCAGCAAAGTCACAATGGGTTGAGTAACAGGAGAGATCGGGGTAAAGGCAGGAGAGGGGAACGTGGGTGCATGCTGGGAACCCAGTATCCCGGGGTTCTGAATCCACGCAGCACCCTTCCTATTGCCTACACCATTGAGACACAGCATCTGCTTCTGATGCTGTAAAAGCTCTGAGCTAGGACTGTCCTCCACACTTCCAGAATGGTGCTTCTTGAGCACCTGACAGGGGAAGCCTTACTTCATTCACTATCAGTATCTGAGTGTGCCCAGATCCATTCTCTGTAGATTGATTTTGTTCAGCAACTGGGAACCAAAACGGAATTAGCTAAGTGGAAATTGGGTCACAAAAGACCTTTCATTTCACAAAAGCAAATCAAAATAAGCATATAGTTATTTTTAAATAAAATAACTGGTCAATGGTCATTAATGGCTTAAAGGAGAAAAAGATGGTTCCATGAAAGGAAAGCAGCCCACAGGGGCTTCCTGGCAATGGACACGTGCATATTCTCATCTGGTAATGAGGTGCAGCAAGCCTGGAAAGCACTGGTCCTCTGATTGGATTAGAGCCCCCAGCCAAAGCTTTGGAGTCTCATTAATGGCAAAGAGGACCAGGAAAGGAAACAATAGGCGCCTCATTACCCGTGGCTCATCATTAGAGGGATCTATGCCACCTGTCAAACCATGTCTCCACAACACAACCACCTCAGAGAAAAGGTGGTTGACACACACCAACCGTCAACCTTGTCAGCACCCATGTGAGCATCTTTCTGGGAGTGAGGATGCTGACGTCAGCCACGAGGTCATCAGAAAAATCTCAACTTAAAACTCAGCATAAAACTCAGGTCAGCGATGAGAATAACAATGTTGTTTGTGGCAAGTGTGTGTGAACCCGGAGTTGAGGTAAGATGGTGAGGGCACAGAGCAAGCAGGCTCAGTGCTCAGAATCAAGAAGCATCTGGGAGCTGTCACCCAAGTGCCATCATCTTAGCGTTAAAGGGAAAAAAAACATGTTGGAGAAAATCCTGTCAGTTTCTCCCTGACAGCTGAACTTTTATAGAAATTCAAGAAGCCCACTCTCCAAGACTCCCAATTATAAGATCCACTTCTCCAGTCAATAAACTCTAATTGGATCTGGTATGTCTCCAACATGGTAAAGCCATCAGCATTTTATTATGCAAAAAATATGGCCACATAGCCAATTAGTGGTTCTGTATCCAATAAAGCTGTTACATCCTGAACGTTTAATGCTGATTTAATCAGAAAGAATTTTTATGTCTATAACAGATTTTCAACAGAACTGATATGAAATTAAAAGGATTTTGTTAAACTCCAAATTCAAGCTTCAGACTTACTTATAAGCCATGAGAGGTGTCATCATTTTAGTTCCCAACTTTAACCATGACAAAGGGTCACAATTATCAAATCACATCAAGAGAGCTCGTTAGGATGTGGTCTTCACTCAGCTGCTGCTTACAAATAGGGCTGCCACACCATCAGTTTTTCTCTTGTCCCCCTTGACAAATGTATCCTCATGGCAAGGAACAGCCCCACCACCACCCCAAGGCTGTCTTATTAGTTGGATGCCCCAGTGTGGAATACCTACTGCAGCTAAGCTTTTCCCAATGCCTGACATCACTCCTTCATCAAAAGTAGGTGGCAAGCCTGGTTCGCCCTCCCCCAGGTCCCCTCAGCCTGGCCTCTTCATAGCCTGTGCTCCACACACACAGGCCTCACCTGCTCCGGGAGCAAGCAGCCAGCTGTAGAGGTAGCCTGCAGCCAGAGAATAGTATAGCACTAGTCCTCGCTGCCCATTAACCATCTCCAAGATCTGATCGATGGTGATGGGTGAGTAGGGGTCTGAGTCTTGTTGTCCTGTCTGCCGTTCCACCAACAGGTCGGCAAATGCTCTTGTCCGACCTCTTTCTGCTACGGCCAGGGCTTCATCATGGTGGCCTAGGAGACAAATGGACAGGCTTGAGGAGTCTGCTCCAAGTATGGTCACCCAGGGAGTACCACTCAGTGCTGCCATCTGATCCAGATAAGGAAACTCACTGCCTCTGCTCTGCCCTGTGTGACAGAATCACAGGCAAACTGCTTTAAGTCCAACTTCTTCCTCCAGGGGCAGGGGCAGTCTTAGATCACAGCACCCACAGCCTTAGACTGTTGGAACTGATCCCATGCCACATGTCCCAACAATTCTGAATGCCAGATGATAGCTGACCTCAACCCCACATTGCTCTGAGTTGCCCCCTGACCTAGCTGCTGTCTTTCCTGCCCTGTTCACAGGGCTCTTTGGGCCTGATGCCAGGCCCTCTCACTTCCCTGCCCAGCTTGGACTCTGATACTGCCAGATAGGATTTACATGACAGACCCTGACAACACACTCTCTACTAGAGGCAGCTCTACTGTCACCTGCCATGAATCACACCTCTGTGCCTTTAAACATGCCTGCCCTCCTGCTGAGCAGCTCCCCCACCCCCCAACCCCTGCTTCTACTAATCTTATCTCAGAAAGCAGGATGGTGCTGTAGGCTCAGTGAGGCAAAGACACCTGGGAGGTGTTCTTTAGGCACGGCCTGTATGGCAGGTGGCTTGCTGCGCTCAGAGCTGAAACCCAGCCCCATTCTGTGCTCTTAGCATCCTGTGGGCAAAAAGGTTTAAACCTCAGAGAGCTCACAGCTTAAAAGTTGCCTCTTCTTTCAAGCTTTTCTTTGGTCTTTCAGTCCAAGTTCTAAACCCATTTCCTCTAAGAAGCTATGAATGCAATTTGAAAGCTGATGCACAGATGCCAAGTCAACAGTGTGAAGCCACAGTCTTGCTGGTGAGTGCTAAGGGACTGAACACAGAGGACAGACAAATACCAACATGGAACTGTTAGAACAAGGGCCAAGAACTCGGGCAGGGAGCTCAACCCAAGCTCCAAAGGCCCTTCAAGGAGGTCTCACCTCCTGCTATTCAGGCAACCATAGAAAGAGGGGGTCTATGTGAGTGTATGCAAATACCTTCCTTTACTCTATTAACGGGAACAGCAGGGACAATTTCTGTGTGCAGTGGAAAATCAGCCTGAAAGTGCTAGACAGACTTAACACTGTAGTTATAACAGGTAATAAGTGACAATCCTGGGCATTGAGCACGTTCCATTTTTCAAGGGGAAACGTGAGGATTTTCAGATGTGTGCCAAAACTGAAAAACACTGAAATACTGTTAGCTTCAGTGAATATTGTGATGGGTCATCGTCTTTCTCAATTTGACTGGATTTGGAATCACCTAAGAGACACATCACTGGGTCTGTCTATAAGAATCTCCAGAGATTTAACTGAGGGGGGAATGACCCACTCTGATTTGGGCGGCACATTCCACGGGCTGGGGTCTCAGACTGAATGACAAGGAACTGGAGAGAGCCAGCTGAACACCAGCCTTCATCTCTCTGCGCTTCCTGGCAGTGGATATGATGTGATCAGCCACCTCACGCTCTCTCTGCCAGGCCTTTTCCTCCAGAATGGACTGTATACCCTCAAATAGTGAGCCAAAAATAAGCCTTTTCTTAGTTTGCTTTTGCTATAGCAAAAGTAACTCACACAAATGTCTTTTGGGAAGTGGCAGGGGCTGGAAGAGCTTGATGGGAACACCTGTGACTGCTGAAACCCAGGGGAAGTTAGCTGTGGACTGCCCTGGTACCATGAAGCTAGCAAGTCTAGGGGATGGATGACCCTTGATTGTGGGACACAGCCCAGGGCACATGCCCACACAGTATAAGCATTAGTGAGTAGCCAGGATGCACAGCTGAGGAAACAGAAAGGGTCAATGTCTTCTCAGACACCTGATCGAGTGAGGCCTTCATGAAGCAGGTGTTGGCAGAGAGGGGTTACCTCGCTCCAGCATCTCTAGTTCAGGGACACTGCTCTCCTTCCTAACATTGGAGTTTCTCTACTGTGGCTAAGTCAATCACATCACATGGAGTCACCAACTTCCATCCATGATAGCCTGTAGACACAAGCTAAGAGTATCTTAGTGACACTTGCCAGGACTGGTACCTGGAACATAGTAGGTGCTCTGCCTCTTTGCTGAGTAAATGAATGAGCATTCAATAGCTGGGTGTGGCTTCCCAGTCTGCTCTGAAACAAATCATATTTAATCACAACAGTCCTTAACAATGTGCATACGTGGCTGTGTGTACACACATGTACACACGTAGCCCCAGCTGCTCTTACCTAGGCTGACGAGCACTCGCTGCAAGGCCTGGTAGGATGATGTTTGCAGGTCAAAGAGGGAAAGCTTGTAGTCTGTGCTCAGTTGTGCCTCATGCCGGATCGTTTCAAACAAGGCTGATGCCCTATAAAGCTGCAAAAATGGAGACTGTCACCCACGCTCCAGCCAATGTCCAGCTGTTTGTATATGCAAGACAACTTTTGTTCATACTGGGCTTTAGAGGCGACACATTTTTAAAGGGCTGAAAGGATGACTATATTTCCAGGTAGGTCCTTGAAGACCTGAAGAAATATCCCATCAGCTTCAGTTGTAGTTTATAGGACATCTTGTAGGCTAAACAGCTGACCCCCCCACCCCCGCCCTGAGACCCTGTCCCTACTGTTCCACATTTACACAAACTGCAAATGCAGAGCTAGTTCAAGGCCTGAGAGCAGGGTGGAGCAAGGAGCATGCTCCTGACTCCGTCCTTTAGTTGTGACTCTGGACAGGATACAGAGCTGAGGCTTCTTCTCTACCAATTAAGTTATCATTTTCTTCATGGAGAATTTTGACAAGTAAATTCATGGATTTAAAGTACTTTGAAAATTGTGACTCACTGCATTATATAAGTTTTAATTTTTATGTCAAGGGAGCAACAGAGTTAATCCTTTAAATTGCCTTTAATCCTTTAAATATTTATTATTTATTTTTTATTTATTATATTTTTGGTCTTTTTGAGACAGGGTCTCCCTGTAGCCCCAGCTGGCCTGAAACTTGCTATGCAGACCAGGCCTGCCTCTGCCTCCCAAGTCCTGGGATTAAAGGCATGTGCCACCATGCCAGGTTTATTTTTGATTTTTATTTGTGTGTATATGTATGTGTTTGTATGTGTACATGTGTGTAGTTGCCTGAAGAGGTCTGAAGATGGTGTCATATCCCCTGGAGTTAGAGGTATAGACAGTTGTGAGCCACCTCATTCGGGTGCTGGGAACTGAACTTAGATCCTCTATAAGAGTAGCAGGTGCTCTTAACTGCTGAGCCATCTCTCCTGCCCCAACCTTTAATACTCTAGAGCACAGTTCAACACCCTAATGCCACAGGATGCTACCACACAGATTCAGTCACCACGTGATCAGGTCTCTCCCCTGGAGACCAGCCTTGCTTTGCTCATCCATGGCCCCCTTTGCCTGGCAGCATCCGCAGTGATCATTCACACTGGCCAAGGGATAAGTTAGAAGCAGGCATCTCCCTACTCTACCTGCCTTAGAGAAGAGGCCCAGAAGTATCTAGAGAATCTTTTCCTCATCAGAGCCAGTGTGACAACAGATTACAGCTCAGCTACTGTACACATGTAGCAACATGGACTTATCATTAAATCCAATATCCACCTTTTTATGAAGAATGTAATTTCATATTAAAGTCTAATGCAAGGCAACAGCAAGAGCACATAATACAAGAATTCCAAAGAAATTATTGAGAAATCCATCATGAATGGGTAGTAGTCTTAGCAGCCTCAAAGGCTCAGCACTTCTGGGCTTGTACAGGGTGGAAATCTTATGCCTCAGCCCAGTAGAAGAGGGGGACACCTCTGGGAAAGGCAATAGGCATGGGGGTGTTTTAGCTCCTGGGAAGGAACCACCCTGGGGTCAGGGCTCTGCTCACCTGGTGCTGGGCCTCTTCTAGGTTTCCACTCGCCCAAAGGGAGAGACCAAGACCATGGCGAATTTTTGCCTCATCTTCTCTTCGGCCCAGTTGTTCAGCTAACCTTAAACCTGAAAGCACACAGGGAAATGTAAAGAAAAAGAGAAAACGGACATATTCTCTTCTGCCAAAGCATCCGGAAGTAATGTTGTTTCGAGTATATGTAAGGATGTTAACAACACACCTGGAGAGATGTAGGAGTGAGGCCTAACCAGCCCAGGCAGAATGGGAATCTCTTTAAATGTTGCAGGAGATGCCTCAGCAGGAACCCAGACAATGGTTATCAACAGGAGCTGGGTTTGTAGGATAGAAACAGAGAAACCAATGGATCCTAACCTCATTGCCCTCACAGATGCAAAACTCTCAGCTTTGCAAATGAAAACTCTTAGCTGATAAACTTATCTCTCCTGACTCTCTGGCTGGCCACGGCTTCTCCTGACAGTCAAGTACAGCTCAAGTACAGTGGCTATGATAATACCTCTTTCTATCTCACTGCACAGCATCCAGTCAGCGCTGATGGGAGGCAGGATGGTCCTGGAAGCGAATTGTGTGCAGCTGACCTGCTTCTGTTACTGATGTTGCTAACACACTGTGTGTCCAATCTGCTTTTCCTTTAAGCCTAGGGCTCTGATGTGCCTCAGCAGGGTTGCAAACAAGTGCTATTATGAGCCGAAAGCCTTAAATGAGGCCGTCCTCATTTTAATGGCCTTCAGACAGGCACCGGCAGTTCGGTCACTTACTCGCAGCAAGCTTCTGAGTTTCAGGACACCAGCTACCTCCAGGGCTTTGTGGGAGCCAAGTCTGATGGTGACCGTTTATTGTATTGGTCACTACGCTGCTTTCAGTCACTCTGCCTGCACCATGGTGCTCTCTGCAGAGCAGCTGGCCTGCACAGAAGACAGCGCAGGGACAAAGGCAGGGCTTCCTCTCATCCAAGTTGGGGCAGGAAGCCACCGCCAAGCATGCTGGGCCTGAGTGACTCCCAACTCTTTCAAAGGACCTGAGTCAGCTGAGAGGCTGCTGAGAAAAGCAATGCTCAGGTTCAGCCTGAGCATGTGACTCAGAGCTTAGAATTCTCAGCATTCTGACTTTAAATCATGTCACTGGGTAACAGACGTGTTTATAAATAATTCATATGTGAAAGACAGCTCTTGAGAGAAAACCAGGACCCTGGTTATTTTAACCTTCGAAAGGCTAGTCACACTGGTCCTTTGATGCAGATGCCCCACAAAGCCCGGGTCTGGGTCAGAAGTGCAGTTCCGTAGACAACCCTCCCACCCCTGTAGAAGGCACATTCTGTGTGAGAAAGGGACCTGCCTGGTTCCTGCTGTGTCCCCAGCAAGTAGGATGCCCACCAGCTATCCATCAGCAAGGAGCTCCACAACAGCAAGCTCAGACTGCGGGACAGATGTGGGTGCGGGGCACTGGGGCTGCCAGCCTCTATCTATGCCTGCCTTTTGGGAGCCTGCTTGCCCTGCTCTCCAGCACCAGTTTGTCTGGACTGGTGGCAAAGCCCCAGGTAAGTCATTGAACTATGCCAGTCTCCCTTTTTTAGTTTGCAAATGAGAAAAAGTTGGATGAAACCAGTGGCTTTAACCAGAAGTACCATCCACATCACATAGAGAGCTGCTGGTTGGCAGCCCTGCCCCTCTAAAAGCTGGGGTGACTTCCAGCTAAACTGTTCCCTCCACTGCAAGAGGCTGCACCCAACTCAGAGCACTCAGAGTACCTTCTGGCCTCCTGTACCCCTTCCAGCTCAGAGCTTATGAAAAGAGGCTTCTGGCTTGGGAGAGGAAGAGCTCTTGGGCCACAGCCTCACTCCACAAAACAAACACTACAGAGAGGCTACCAACAAGAGTTTTTAGATCTCTGTAAGACTTATCATAAGAGATAATAAAAGAGGAACTGCAGAGTTTTCCATAAATTCAGAATTACGTGACAATGTCCCCGCAAAGTGGCTGCCACATGGAAGCGGTATTTCAGGAGGGAATAAAGGATAAAGCACATGTTGAAAAGTGCCGGATGCTGGGTCTGAATTCATCGTTTTCACAAATTCAACTGAAAACCACCTCTAGGCAGCAGAACAATATAACACTAAAGTTTCAGGAAACCAAAAGGCCCTGTTCATATACAATGCATGGATGCAGAGCTGCCCACCAACACATGGGAGCCAAACAAGGGCCGGACAGTGCCTGGTTTGTGCAGGGCATGACTGCCAGCCCCGCCCATCCTCCACTCAGTCTCCTGCTTCCAGCTCTAGGACCTTCCCTCTGGGGATCGGAGTAATGGGATACAGCTGCCCCAACCCTGCACTGTTCTTGTGAGGTTAGAAACAATGCCAGAAAGGGGCTTGTGTGGTTGGAAAACCCAGGCTGAGCCTATTCTGCAACAAACCAACTGAACAGTCAGGATCAAATCATTATACTTCCCCAAGCTTTGGAGACTTAGCTGCAAACATGGGAGCCAGGGTACAGTTCTTGGGTTAGGGTTTGCAGCTCAGTGCAAGAGCACTTGCTTAGCATGTGCAATGAGTTGACATGTTTTATCCCCAACACTGCCAAAGAAAGAAAAGGAGAGAGAGAGAGAGAGAGAAAGAGAGAGAGAGAGAGAGAGAGAGAGAGAGAGAGAGAGAGAGAGAAAGAGAGAGAGAGAGAGGAAAAAGCAAAAGGAGGCTACAGCTCTAGATGTTACCAAGAATGAGACCACATATGGAAGCTCTTTGCAAGAGTTTGTGATTGAAATCAGGGGCTATGTCCTTTGGTAGTGAGTGGAGACATCTTATCCACTCCTCCCCTCTAACAGGGACCTTGTGCAACTTTGAGGGCTTCAAGAGCAGAGCCACCCAGTGTGGAAGAAGAGGGCAAGGCCATTGCCAGGGGACTTTTTTGACTCATGCAGGAAGGATGTCTCTGAGGTCTTGCTGGCCTCAGGTAACTGATGGCCTCTGTCACCAGTGATGGGAGAGAAGCGGACAATTTCCAAGCCTGCCTGGGACAAGATTGCTCTGTGGCACCAGTTCAAGCTCTGTCAATAACAAATCTCAAGAGGGCTGTTCCAGGGATCCCCAAATAGACACCCTGGACTAGTGGCTACCATGCCTGAGCTGAGAACTGTATACTTTGATGCAGGTTAAGTATCTTCTCGAAGGTCACAGGGGCTTGAGGAAGGTGGGCATGTTTCTGAGGTAGACCCTCCCAATTCATACCATCAGGTCTTACAGGTCCAGGTGAGGATGTATCATTTGCCCACCTGCTACTCTGATAAGGGAATATCAGCTGTTTGGGCAGTAGGTGAGTGGCAGGTGCCAAATCTGAGGAGGGAGGCAATTGGGGTCCAGGGAGCTGGGACAGGGCAGGGAAACACCTTAAGACCATCAGGGGACACCTGGTGGTGTACACTGTGGCCTGTGAGGTCCTCGTTCTGTGAAGGTGGCTACTCCAAGAGTGCTTTGGTCCGAGTCTCAAGCACCTACCTTCCTGTAAGTACATGACTGCCTGGGAGTAGTTCTGCAGGGCGTGATGTGTCCTCCCGAGGCTGCTATAGGACACCGTCTTGGCCACCAAGTCATTCATCTGTGCCGCGATGCTCAGGTGCTGCTCTTGATAGACCACAGCCCTCTCGAAGGTACCCAGGGACTCATAGGTCAGACCCAGGTTCCCATAGGCTCGGCCCTGGCATGTGGGGTTGTTGGTCTCCTCTGCAATCTGCAGGTCGAGCTGGTGGTATTGCAGGGCTGCATCATACTCCCCCATCTGCTGGTAGACACCTCCTAGGCCACAGGCTGCGTCACTCTCCAAGGCTCGGTCTTTCATGTCTCTAGCAATGTTCAGCTGGCGTTCCAGGCAGGAAATGGCTTGTTCGTAATTCCCTAATTGGCTGTGTAGACTTCCCAGCTCTCCATAGGCCTGGGCTTTATTGGAAGCCTCCCCAAGCTCGTGGGCAACCACGAGCCTCTTCTCAAAGCACACGAGGGCCTGCTGCAAGCTCCCTGTCGCCCTGTGGGGATGCAGACAGAGAAGCAATGATATCAATCCATGCAGAGCAGACATGCTAAAGCCCCTGAGAAAATGAAAAGCATTCGTCACTGTCACTTGCAATAGAAGCTCTTAACTCCTCCTCTAGCTAAAATCTATCATGTGCCCTTAGAGTGAGATGCAGAGGAATTTCATAATCTGGAAAGCAATTCAAAAGTCATCCCTTAGTGACCTTCCCAAGAGCTTGCAATTCGGTGGGATATGCACCCCCGAGGAAACATAAAATATATTAATAGGCACAATGATAGCGAGTGAACTGTGTGGGTTTTCGGGCTTCCCAATTTCCACTACTGCTCAGACTATGTTTTTGAAATCACTTTACAGTAGCTATAAATCTCTCAGCCTGAGCCTCTTGGAGCAGTACGTGGGTGATGAGTTAGTTTGACTCCTACCCTTCCTCCACTCTAGGACCCCTAATCCCCTGCCTAAGGAGGCCTTGTATCTGTATACAGACACCTTCTTGGGCTCCCGACTCAGAGGAAAGCATCCCATGGCCAACAGTGCCCTTTTTTGTGCCCCTCAGAGATGATATGATCCTAGGGGGGAAGAGTGTGGGTTTTGGTGACACATGGATCCAGTTCTCTGGGCCATATGGACTCTGTTCCCTGAACCTCAGTTTTGGTTGATGACAAGCCCTCATCCCATAGCAGATGGACACACAGAGTAACAGGATTGCTACACTAGAGATTCCTGTGCAAGGTGTCTCTCATGGGTGGGACCTGGTGCACATGACAAATTTCCTTCCCCAGGTCTGAAGAACTGGTAGGTACCAAATGTTATACTAATAAACACATTCATAAAACGTGGGTGTGCACAAGGTCAGTTACAGAGGTCAGTTACATGGATTTATTGACCCACCTGTCCCTATGAATGTATGAATACCGTCACGTTGCTGACTGTAATGCAGTCAAAAAGTACTGCATGTAAAGTTAGAGTCTCGGCTATCCCTTTGAAGCTGTAAATCTCAGGTGCTGACCCACCCTCTCTGGGCTTTGGTGCCTCTTCCATAACACAAGAGTAATATTATTATCCACTTAACTCAAGAAATTGTTCAAGACTCTACCGAGGGATGTGGGTAGATGCTTTGCAGGGTGCAGGCTGCTCTGTGGATGTGCAGCTGCCCTTCCTGTCATGGCTGCTCTCTGCAGATTTATTGAGCCCATCTGCTCCCTGTCCCTGTTACCTGTGTCCATTTCCTAGACCCCTGTAGGCCTTGGCTTGGTCTTGCATGCGGTTCAGACTCTGGGCAACAGACAGGTACTGCTCATAGTACTTGATGGCTTCCTCGTAGTCTCCAAGGGCCTCATAGCAATCCCCCAGGTTGCCATAGGCCCGACCCCTGTCCAACACAGACTCGTTCCCACTGAGCTGCTGCAGTGTGGCCAGCTGCTGCTCAAAGTAGCCGATGGCTTCCTCCATCACGTTCATGTTCATCTTTGTGATGCCCATGTTGCCATACACCTGGGCCTCCAGACTTGGGTCCTTCAGTTTCCGCCCCAGCTCCAATTGCTCTTCGTAGCACTTGAACGCCATTGTGTATTTCCCTAGAGCCATGTAGACAGCGGCCAGGTGCCCATGAGCCCGGCACTCCCCTGGCATGTCACTTAGCTCCTGATAGACCTCCAGTTCCTGCGTGTGATAACCCAAGGCCTTGTCGTACTTCTGGACCATTCGGTACGCAGCACCCAGGGCTGCATAGGCACTGGCCTCTAGCCTTCTGTCCTTTACGTGGTGAGCTAAGCCCAACTGCTGTTCATAGAACTTTATTGCACCGTTTACATCCTTTTTACAAACAAATATATCACCTAGGTTCCCCAGGGCTCGAAACTTAGCTTGGGAATTGTTCAGGGACTGGGCTAGGGACAGAAGGTACTTCTGACACTCCTCAGCTTTGCTGAAGTTCAGAAGAGCCTTGAAGGCTAGGCCCAAGTTACAGTAGGCTTTTGCTTGGCTCAGTTTGTCATGGAGGTCTTTGGCCAGTGCCAGATCCTGTTCGTAGTACTTCACAGCCTCTTGGTAGTTCCCAAGGCAGTAGTGAGCATAGCCAAGGTTGTGGCAGACTTTCCCTTCTCCCTCCATGTCCTGAAGGTCTGGGGCCAGGCGGAGGTACTGTTCATAGTATGGTGCAGCCTGGACATATTCTCCCCGAGAGCAGTGGAAGTTTCCCAGGTTGCTGAGTGCCCGGGCCTCGCTCTGGATGTCTCGAAGCTCTCGGGCAATGTTCAAGTGGTTCTGGTAGTGTTGCAGGGCCCGGTCATGGGCGCCCAGGGCCTGGTAGGCCACAGCAAGGTTTCCGTGTGTGGAGGCCTGCGAGGCACGGTCATTGACCTCCATGGAGATCTGCAGCTCCTGACGGTGGTACCTGACAGCCTGGTCATACATGCCCAGGGCGTTGTAGGCATTGCCCATGTTCCCGTAGGCACGGCCCTGGGCTGCATAGTCGCTCAACTCCTGGGCGATGCACAGGTGGGTCTTGTGGAGCTTTAGGGCTGTGTCATAATCACCTTTCATCTGGTGGATGATCCCTGGGATGGAGAGGAACAGAACACAAGAAGGTAGAGAAGCTGATGAGAAAGTTAGAAAAACATTCAACTTGCAGCTCAGTTTACAGTGAAGGCAATTCAGAATTAAAGAATTTAAAATAACAGAAGGTGGAATTAAATATGTATCAACATGGCAGAGGGAGGACAGCTTCCCAAGCTTCAAACCACCGGGAAAAAAACCCCAACAGATTTGATGACAAAAATAAGAATCTTTGTTTTACAAATAAACATGCAAAATTAAAGGGCAAACATAACACATTGGAAAATATGTGAAACATATACAAAAATACTGTAATAGCTATTGTGAGTAAAAAATTCACTCGGTTTGATTTAAAAAGAAGAAAAAATCAAGACCCCAATTTACTAAAATAGGCAAAGAGCTATAAATGTTAGTAGACAACTCACAACTGAAGAAACACAAAGAGGAACCACGGGGGGAAATGCTAATTTCCTTTAATATCAAAGAAAAGCAAAATAAAGCAACCCTGAAGCACCATTTTATCCCTACTAAATTAGCAAATAAAAAATTTAAACACCCCCTATATTGCTGAGGTTGCTCTGAAATTGGTGAACACACCAACTGCTGGGGACAGAAACAGGAGCAGCATTTGGAACAAACTGCAGTGCACGGTTCTGCTTTGCCCCTGGGATCCTGCGGTGGACAGACAGCACTGTATGCACAGAGGAGGAGTCAAGATCCTGTATGTGCCGACGCTGGGCGCCATGCAAGCATGCTTCAGTGCGTCAACTCGAGTAGATTATGCAATTATTAAAAAGGTAATTATGAAGCCTATGCAAAAAAAAATGGGAGAAAATGTTCTTACAGTGGAAGTAACAGGCAACTAGGAGAATAAGTGTGTGCAGAGGACAAGACTTTAAGGGAATTGTGTCAAATAAAGATAGTTGCCTTGTTAGGTGATGGGATTTGAATGATTCTGCCCTCAAACTTCAGGTAATCCTGCCTTAAACAACCCTTGGAAACTATGATTGCTACTAAACTCACTGCTGTTTCAAATTAGTTCAAAGGGAGATACGGTACAGACAGGATGTTGTTCCCAATGAGGGGTACAGCAGTGGTAACTCAGGGGTGGGTCATTATAGAGGTGGCTGGAATGGGGGACACTGGAAAAGGTGGGGACACTAGTGTGCACACAGGTCCTTCCATGCCCTTGGTTTTAGACATGCTTTTCCATGCTTCAGTATGTAAGCATTACAGAGGTGAGCAAAACCTGCAGAGGCCGCAAAACCTGCAGAGGCCCCAAACTCAAACAAGTCATAATGTTTAAAAAAAAAAAAACCTTTGAAATTTTATAATTGTTATTGTGTATATGATGTGTGTGGAGGGTGGCATGTGTGCCATGGTGTTTGTATTAAAGTCAGGGGGCGACTTTCAGGAGTCAGTTCTCTCCTTCTCTGGGTTCTGGGGATTATACTCAGGTTGTCAGGCTTGCTGAGCTATCTCGCTGGCCCCAAAATGGTTTTGTGATAAAATATCTGAACTGAAAATAGAGGCACAGAAAAAGCAAGCTTTTGAAATTTATCCCTCATTTGCTCGCCCAGTAGGCACAACCTGGGGGCTTGCGGTGCTCTAGGCCTTGTGGTGGGTAGTGGGGGTGGGGAGAGGGAGAGGGAGAGGGAGAGGGAGAGGGAGGAGGAAAAAGGAAGCTAGCTGAGTAGCTGAACATGAATCAGGAAAGCAAGCAAGCCAGTAAGCAGTGTTCTTCCATGGTCTCTGCTTCAGTTTCTGCCTCCAGATTCCTGC